ATGCATAAGTTTTACGTTTATGAATGCAATCAATGCCAAATACATGGTGATTGGTGAATATAATCATGTATCCTCAGATTTTCTTTAAAGGAGTTAGAAAATCAAAGGATGCGAAATTGGATCTAAGGATAAGGTTGCTTGATCATAACGATTTGTTACTCAGTAATAAGAATTAGGCAATTCATGTTTGTATTAGTTGTTTGAATATTTCTAGTAACATTTAAGACTGCAATTAGTCAGCCTTTTATTGGCATGTGTGAATTCTGTGCGGATTGCCTCGATGTTGCCTTAGATCATAAGCATTATAAGCAGAGATGGATAGTTGCGAGTCCCATAACAAGACGAAACGCGCATCCTGCCACCATCCATTTTGCTTACAAGAATTAGGTAAGTTCGTTATTAGGCATATGAATACGATATGAATCCGGTGCTTCCGTGTTTTAAATGGTGGTGACACATTGATCGGTTCATGATTTCAATGAAATTCAGAAATCTTCACAACCTCAAACCAAGAAATACTGTATTTAGTCATAAATAAATTATCATTCATGTTATTCGGAAATGGCCCACAATCTCAAATTGGTTTGACCTTGATGTCTTATCTTTACTCAGTCACTGATCTGTTAGAGTTGTGATTTACTTACAGGCGTAATTCTTACCCGTATTCACTCATTATCCAGCATCTTCCATCAAATTCTATTTTATTTTACACAGTGGTTATATTTATTGATTACTTCTGGAATATATACTTTAATTTTACGTTTCTGAAAGAAATAATATCTTAAAGATACTACAAAGATGGGCTTGTAAGAATGTTTTTCACTGCTGTTGACGAGGCAGCTGAATTTTGGAGACTTTAAGGTATGTCCTGAGTATCGGGGAAGAAGATCGAACTCGTACATTGCTACAAATGAAAAATATTTTCAAGGAGTTAAGAATATTTTCTAAATTTTGTCAACGAAGTTTTTGTGATCACAATACTTGATTAAGTAAACGGAATAATATTTCAACCGTAGATAAAATCAAATATTTGTCCAAGAAACTGCAGAGACATTGAGAAGAATTCTGTTTCAATGTAAAAGCCAAAAACTGTACTTGGGTCATTTATAGGGTTTACTTAACTCATCCCGTGAAATAAAACCTTGATAAAAAATGCTAACCAGAAGAATCGTCAAAATCGTTTAAAACTCCAACCAGGGAGTCGAAGAAACTTCATAGAGAGGAGTTATGGTGCATCATGGTAAAAGTAGAGATTCTTTAGGGGTTAGTAAGTGTATTTTCTTCCTGAAAACTAGAGCAACAACTGACATAGGTACATAGAACATTCAGAAAATTTTGAACGTACCAATGATGTTCTGTCGACAATTATGTCAGAAACGACGATAAATATTAATTTATTAAGGTTCCAGTCCATCCTAGAAAAATGCCAAAGGAAACACCTGACCATCACAATGAAGTCAAAGTCACCTCACTTTCACCGGACCACACCACAGAAAACCAGATCGATCATATCTGCATTGATTACAGGTTTTGAAGGCCCATACAAGACGTAAGAATAAGGTGGGGCTCTGAGGTAGTTCCCGACCACCATTTGATTATGACCGAACCAGAACTGAGGTTAAAGAAGCTATAAACAACTGGACAAACAGCATTATAAAAGTTTGATACAAGCTCCCTTTGAGATAGTAACAAACTCAGTGAATTAAAGATAGTTCTCAGAGGTAAGTTTCAGGCCTTACACGATCCAGTAGAAGAAAAGGAAAACACAACAGGTAACAATTGGAAAGAGATCAAAGAGGCAATAATTTCGACAAACCAAGTGCTGGGCCATAGAAACACCAGTACAAGGAGTGGATCTCTGTAGACAGCCTATACAAGATTCAAGAATGAGAGAACATGAAGACAGCATTCAACAATAGGCGAACAAGAGAGTAAGGCAAGGCACAACAGAGAAGTCAGCAGGGAAATATGGATTTGAAGAGGGAACAGTGAAGGACAAGTAAGGCAATTCAGTAACTGAGATTCAAGAGCAACAAAACAGGTAAGCAGAACCTTTTGAAAAGCTCTTGAATAAGCCAACCCCAATGAACCCACTCAAAATCGAAGCAACACCTACAAACCTCCCTATAAATGTCGACCCACCAAGAATAAAAAAAATCGGAAACCCCACCGGACAAATTAAGAGTTGAATCAAACAGCGTAACAGCAGAATCGCTCAAGTCAGACATATAGGTAACTGAAGAGATGCTTCATGTGCTCTTCATAAACCTTTGGGAAAAAGAAGTTCAAACAGATTGGAAGGAGGGATACTTTGTTGATGGACTAAAGAAACAGGAAATTGATAAGTGAGTGAACCACAGAAGCATCGTAATACTATTAGTATCAGACGAAGTTTTTGAGTGTTGTTGAACCAAACGGAAGTTTCGGAAGAGGCCCAACTTCGAGAACAAAATGTTGACTTTTGTCTGGATCCATCATGTATCTTCAGATTCGTGGTATTACGGATTATTGTTGAGCAATCGGTTGAACAGAACTCATTGCTATACATCGATGACTTCGGTTATGCAAATGCATTCGACAGCGTAAAGAGGACAACTTTATGGAGTCTTCTTTGACACTATGAAGTACCTGAAATCATCGTTATACGAAATTCTTATGAGGGACTACACTGTAAAATCGATGGGAGTTCGACCTATTAATCTAAAGGTAAAAATGAATATAATTGTAATAATCGCTTTTTAAACTAAGTCATGTATCAAGTAAAGCATGTGCATTATACGTGAAGGATTGCATTTATCAAGTCGAATATTGATATCATGAACTATAAAATTCCAAATAAACTTTAAAATACTTATTAGTGAAGAATGATTCTGTTGTCTTGAAACAGGACTGACTTATCGAGGCTGTGACTTGAAACTAAGTGCTTATTATTATTACTACTGATGCGGTTGTTTGTTAAACTGTGAAATACTGCCATGACTGCGATGGAACGAGACTGCTTTGTCGAGCAAGAGAAGGAAATAAGACTGTAGAAACGGACTGATTTATTCACCAACCACTAATTAAACATTTGGAATAATGATAATAATAAATTACACATCATTTTTAATGTTTGGCCAATTGATAATTTTGAACTAGTAATAAGTCAATAATCTACTCCATAGAATTTTCAAAATTAATAAACAAACTGACTTAACCCAGGAATACTATTCATCACCGGATTGTCTTGGCTTCAATGATAACAGATGCATCCACTTATATGATTTCATTTTGAAATTTTGCTACATAAAAATTGTACAAAACTAGTGTTCTATCCGAATGAGGAATAAATGAACCGTAACTGCTAGGATCTATTTATAGACTAGTATTACATATATTCCTATTGGATAACTATCAAGTAACTATATTGTATGTATATCCATATTCATCTTATTAAAAAATTCCATTTGACGAATTGACACTGTTATACGATTTACTATTATTAAGTTATTCCCAATTTATTAGTTACAGTATCTCACAATCACAGCCACTTTTTGGCTTGATCTTGTATAATAGTTATTCTTTATTTTATGACATGATGTGGTCTGGTTTGCTTGTACAGAAACCAAGTATGTCTGAAATAAATGATTCACATAGTGGAAGCTGATATTAGTGTTCTGGACCCAGAGTTGACGCTAGGCTGCTAGTACTGATTTGTGCGTCATTGGTCTGGTCATATAAGTCAGTGTTCTAATTGGCGGACAAATCATGTGATAATTGACAAGGCCACAAGTCATGACATAAAGTCCAGGCAATCATTCTGAATCACATTGTGTACTCTTATTTAACCGCAGCTATAAACATGGAATACTGAATTTTTAAGGACTGTCTTATATACTTATCTTCAAAAAGAAAATTTATTACTGATCAAATAAAAATAGCAGCACAACCAACAAAACGGTAAATGTAGCACATAAATGTGAAATACTGAATAAATAACCTGAAAAACCCAACAAGTTTTATAGAATAGTACTTGCGTGTGAATGAAATGCATGTACAATTACAATTGTCAATGTAACCTAATGTTAAAATTGATGGTTCCCGTGGATTGTAGAAAATATTTATACATATGTCGATCTTTATTGAAATTACATATATAAATACATAACACTGATCAGATTTCATTATGAAAGACTGATAATATTAACAATAATTATAAGATAAATTAGAAATGACAAGAGGGAATAAAAAGAAACCTGTTGCGTGTGAGAGAGAATGACTAGACTAACGGAGAGTTCTAAGAGTGGGTTCTGAGCTGATGATTGATTAATTGGTACTCGAATATTTATATGAATAGGTTAAAGGATGGATCTCCAGAAAAACATCTCTAGAGATAACGAAAATACCCACACAATTATTTTAAATGACAACAAAAGGAAATTAAACAGTTAGAAATTATTTTATATTACACTTCCACATCTTGTGATGAGCAAGGGAAAAAAGCAGGAGATGATGGTCAACATATTACGATTGGTTTGTCATGTAAAATAGTAAAACAACATAGAAAAAACCCTGTTAATAGTTGAAGTTTAAAAAAATAATTAAAACTGAGATTCCATACATTTCAGATAAATTGTTTACAATTCAAACTAACCGTGTGTATACAGACAGTATTAAGTGAGCCATACTACAACTAATTCACAACAAAAAAGGAGTGAGATTTATAAAAAAACACAATAATGTCAAATAACTAGGTGAAATGCAACGAAATCAAAACTACACATAATTAGGAAAAAAAATACCAACATTGAAATAAAAAAGAAAACAAGATGACTAACAACTTCACGATTGACCAAACAAGTAAACAGCAACAACAAAAAATAGCAAGAAGTAAAATTGCCAACACTTTTTATTTGTGTTTAGGTAATGACTAAAAAGGATATCTAGTATTTCAAAGAAGACAGTTTAAAATAAATATCCTGAAGCATTACTGACTTGATTTTTAACGGTTGTACACACATTTACAGCTGTACAGGGAATACTATAGGTTGGTGGTTTGATGGTCCAGTATCACTAGAACTAGTTGTTACAGTAGATATTGGAAATCGACTAAAAGGTTGTTCATGGGCATCACAAGTTAATTGGGGTAAATTAGGCAAAGCACCAGAACGTGAGCTAGCTGGTGTATGTGAACCAATTGAAATAGTACGATTAGGATCAAATGACTTATGTTTTAGATGATGGTGATGTTGACGATGACAGGATGTTTTTGAATGTCTAGAGCTGTTCTTAAATAAATCATAAGTAGACTGTTGGTGAAGATTTCTCTGTAGATATGCGTCAGTGTCGTCATGATGAGACTTCATTTCTCTAAGAAAATAGTGATGAGATTTTCGATCACATGAACTACCGCTACCGGTAGTAGTAACTGAACTACGAGCAAGATTCTCTACTTGAAATAAACTGGAATTTTCTGGAGATAAAGGTTTGTACATGTTACCCAAATAAAGGATACCGCCATTCAAGCTATGGTCACCGCCATGTGATATATTAGTATGTAATACTGATTCTACTCCATCTAACTGTTGATTACATATTCCAATACCACTTCCATTCCCTGAAGTGTTATATCCCACTGTAGGAACTGATTGATTACATCCTGACTTTACAGATTCACGTGGACCACTGCTAGTTGTCCCAGTTCGACTGCTACTTGCTGTTACACTGCTGGCAGGGGGAACAGTAAATGCCCAATAGGGTGGTGGTGTATAATACAATGGATCTGTGGGTCAGTGAGAGAAGGAATAAGTAGAAATATCTGAGTTTAAAGTAAGATGATTATATAACTAACTGACCAAAATAATGTAGAACTGGGGAAATAGCACATTAGTTCAAATTGTCTCACTTTCTAAAAAGAGTGGTGACTTATATTATGAGTTTCACTACGCTAAATGTTATCATTACCTGGCAAAAGATTAAAAAATTGTCACATATATTGGGATAATTCCCAAGTTGTTTATTCAGTATATAGTTCATGCTACTGTTTCTTGCAATTGTATACTTTTCGAATTATCCTTCACTATTTATTTATTTGAACACATAAATATTGGTACAAGGGGGGCACCAAATATATATGCGCCACACAAAACAATGATAATTTGAAGAGAAGGAGAAAAGAGAAAAAAAAAGTAATGAACGTGGGGAATTATAAAAAAAAAGGGAGAGAGACAGAACAATGGTAGGGGAAACGGAAAGGTACAGTCAGAAGAGATCTTTCAGTTAAGGAAGATACAACCACTTTTTATGAAGAAAGTAAAAGAAGGTTACAGCAGGATCGCCACTGGCTTCTATTCTGAGCCATATCTAATAACGTCTCTAGCCACTGCGTTACACCGTCTTTCGGACCCCAACCAGGGAGTCGTGAAGGACCAACAGAAGCTAGCCCTTTGCAGCTTTCTTTCATACCACGACACCATGTCATATACTGACCACCTCTCCGTTTTTTCCAACCAGTCCCAGCGTCGGCAAATAATGCACGACCTGGAATTCTCTGGGACGACATTCGTAAAACATGTCCAAGCCACCGAAGTCGGTGTTTCAAGATGGTGACACCAATTTCATTATCGTCTCTGTGACCGAACACTCGATGCCGAACCTCTGCATTACTGACATGGTGTTGCCACTGGATGCCAGCGATCCTTCGGAGACAACGATGATCGAACACAGAGAGTCGTCTAACATTCTCAACTTGGAGAGGCCAGGTTTCACAAGCATAGAGCAAAACTGCTCTCACCGTCGCGTTGTAGATCCGACCTTTTACAGCCAGACTAACATCACGAAGGCGCCAAAGATGGCCCAGATTGGCATAAGCCGCTCTGGCTTTCACTATACGTGCATTGATCTCATCACTCACACCACCACCAGCACTTATGCAGCTACCTAGATACACGAACTTCTCGACTACTTCAATCTGCTCACCATCGAGAGTGAGTACAGGATTAGAATCCTGCCAGTCTTGTAGAAGTACTTTGCACTTCGAGGGTGCAAAGCACATACCATACCTACGGACATTGATTGACAACTGATTAAGTGCGGATTGCATAGCTTGGGCATTATCGCACAGTAAGACAATATCATCCGCATATTCAAGGTCGAGAAGTCTTTCTCCAGGCAACAGATCCACACCACCATTACTTACATCCGTCAGAGCTGTTTCCAGAATGTCAGCGATGGCAAAGTTGAAGAGGAATGGTGAGATTGGGCAACCCTGCCTAACCCCACTGCTCGAATGGAATAGTGGAGAAAGGTGATTGTATGCCCTCACTCTGCCTGAGGTGTTTGTGTATAGGGCTTTTAGGATGTTAATAAACTTCTCAGGCACACCCTTCTTCAATAGACAATCCCAGAGAACAGTTCTATCCAACGAATCGAAGGCAGCCCTGATATCAAGAAACACTACGATTGTTGGCCTTTGATAAGTATGGCGGTGTTCTAACACTTGGCGGAGGGTGAAGATATGATCAATACATCCTCGACCAGAACGAAACCCAGCCTGCTTCTCGCGAGTCAATCTTTCTCGGGTTCTGAACAACCTACGAAGTATGACGGAAGCCAATAGCTTGGACGCAATCGGAAGTAGACTTATCCCCCGATAGTTGTTACAGGAACAACGTGAACCCTTTTTAAAGATAGGGACAACTATCGACTCATTCCATGACGTTGGTACACTCTCTAGTTCCCAGATCTTTGTAAACAACGTCGTCAGTCCCTTAGTCAGAAAGTCACCACCATCTTTAAAAAGAGCCGGAGGTAAGTCGTCTGGGCCCGGTGATTTGTAACGTTTCAAGAGTTGGAGTTCCTTGCGGACTTCCGCCTCATTTGGTGGATCAGTCGTCACCGGCCATGGAGGGCAGGACAGTCTGATCGATGTTGCCGGAGTAGCAGGCCAGTTGAACTGCCCTTCAAAGAATTCTGCCCATCGTCCAAGACGTCGATGGATGTTAGTGATTGGCGTTCCGTCATCCTCGCAGATTGTTTCGCTCACACCAGACTTCTTGCTGCCAGTGGCTCGGATGAGTTGGAAGAGCTTCCGGTAATTACCAGATGCAGCTGCTGCTTCCAGCTCATTAGCACGCTCCGACCACCAGGCTTCTCGGTCCTTACGCAAGCTTTGCCCGATTTCATTACGTAACATCCTTCGTCTGTGGTCAAACTCACGGTCACCCGGAGTAGACCGACGGGCTTCAATCAGTTGTAAGGAACCAGAAGAAACCCAGTGCTTGTAAGCGAGACGTTTCGCAAACCCACAACTGACTTGACCCGCCATTTTCATGGCGTCATGCAATTGCAACCAATGCTCATCTATACTTTTCGGTGGAATGGTAGCTAGCCTAGAAGCTAGCTCGGTTCGGTACATACTAGCAACAGAAGTTGCAGCCAGCTTGCTAACATCAATCCTGTGGAGGCGGTCACTTCGTTGTCCACTGAAAAGTAAGGTAAGATTGGCGCAGACCAGAGCATGATCAGATTCCAGATAGGTACTCCAAAAGGAGCGGCAGTCTTGTACACAACCGCGCCAGCGGTAGCTGATCGCGATGTCATCAATCTGAGTCCAGGCTTGAGATGCAGAAGGGGGACGCCAGGTGGCACATCGGCGATGACTGTGCCGAAAGTTAGTGCTAGCCAGAAACAGGTTGTGGTCTGTGCATAGTTGCAGTAGACGTTCCCCGTTATCTGTCCTGCGACCAACGAGTCCCCATCGGCCACCTAAACGACTCTCTTCTGTGCCTAGACGCCCGACCTGAGCATTCAAGTCTCCAGCTAGTACTACAATATCTGTCGAACGCACTTTCTGGAGAAGAACAGTTAGCTGATGGTAGAACTCGTCCTTAATTGCATCCGGGCTGCAATCTGTCGGGGCATAGGCGGAGATGACGAAAAGACATCGTTTCTCACGCCGATTTCTTCTCACTTTGATGGAACTTTCTAATCTAACAGCACATAACCGACTGTTAATGGGGATCCAGTCGACTAGTGCTGCCTCAGCTCTTGCGCTTAATGCGACACCAACGCCAGCAAGACCAGACGATGATGCCACAGGGTCCCCGGATAAACGCACATAAAACAAGCTTTTTGAAGCGACAGATGGAGAGCGAACTTGTAGTACTTCACCAGAGTCTTGAATACGGGTCTCGGATAGACAACACACATCAATATTAAGACTTTCCAAAGACATAGCCAGCCCTATCTGTTGTCTGACCTGCATAAGTGTGCGAACGTTGAAGGCAGCCAGTTTGAATGGTGCACGTGGTTTCAGAAAAACTGCTTCAGTACTCGTATTCGGTAGTAACATACAATTTTCAACCAGGCAGTGACTCGAGAACGTTTAGATAAAGCTGAATTTTCACCATAGGCGAGCTGTTGTCTGAGTCGAAACGGATACAAAAAGTAGAAATAGGAGATAGTGAATAAATGACGTAGTAAATAATAATAATAATAATAATAATAATAATACCAGCCATTTCAATGTTAGTTGGAGAGAAACGAATATTTTCTATAAGCAGATAGTTCATCATAGTTTTAGTGTGTGGGCTGAGATACTGCCCGGGCGCCCAGACCGAAGCAGGATCCTTCACTATTCCAAGTCAGTCTCATATATTACGTATGCCCAGCCATCGCCTACCTAGATGAACAATGTTGTCTACTGTAGGAATATATTGAGAGCTAGGGGAGGCAAAACTAGGATGCGGCACAAGTCCATGAATTAACTGACAACTAGACTGAACCATGCAAAAAGATCGAAACCAACTCAGTTGGTCTACATCTATTGGCATGGTCTTTTGGTAGCACTGAGCAACAATACCAGGATGTTTGGAATGCGTTTCTCCCCCTCTAAATGCAAGTTGTCGCTCCAGGACTGGCCTGTGTCAACACATAAACTAAGGATAGGGAGTGAAGTAGTCGAACGCGTCGACAACTTCACTTATCTTGGAAGTCTGATCAGCGCTAATGGGTTGGTGTCTGACAGAATTTCAGCACGGATTCAAAAAAGCTCGTTTGAGTTTTGCCAACTTACGTCACCGATGGCGAACGCGAGATATCTGTCTATCAATTAAGGGACGAGTATACCGCACAGCAGTTCGTTCTTTTTTAATTTAAGGCTGCAAAACGTGATCATTAAGAGTAGAAGATAATCGTAAGTTATTAGTATTTGAACACATATGTCTTAGGAATATTGCCAGCATTTTCAGGGATCACTTGGTAAGTAGTAGTGAAGTTAGACGCAGGGTATCAGGGAATGATGGTAAATCAGTTGATGAGGTTGTAAATCTTCATCGACTGAGATGGCCGGGTCACTCGTTTTGGAGACGGATTGAAGAAAGTTAGGGGCGGTCAAACCAAAACGTGGCATCAGTGCTTGAAGTCACTAACTTCTGGTTGGAGCCATGTTAGTAGATGCAGACTACTTGGTTGGGGTCCGCGTGACTGTCGTAATCAATGGTTGGAGACTCTGGGTGATATGGCTCAGAATCGATCACAATGGTGTAGGTGTATACATTCTTTGTCTTCTCGTAAACCGTGAGATTAAAATTGCTTTATACCTTTCTTTTTATTAACTAATTCTTTCTTCCTGTATTATAACCTTACCACCATTGAATTAACTACTTCTATGAATTCGGTGTTCGCCTTGTTGTGTCAATAAAATGTGGCAACTTAAACCGATGTATATGTGTCTGGTCCTACGTTGTAGCTGACTGACTGATATAGACTAACTAGTTAGGGTTCGCATGATTATCGCATGGCTTATAGTCATTCTCAATGGTCGAGGTACATTCACACCTTGTCTTCCGCGAGTCCCGAAATCTCCTTATACCACTTTTTCTCATTTCTATATCTAATCTTTCTGCTACTACCACTACTGATACTGGCACTACTTAGAGTACTCTGGGATGTTTTTATCTCGCTGTGTCAATGTAGTATAGCGACTTGAAACAGTGCACAGTGTCAGGTTCTACGTTATATATGATGATGACGATGAGAACCTGACAAATACGTACATCAGTTCAAGTTCCCATAGCCCATTAGAAGAGAGAGGTGAAATTTCCAGGACAAATCCTAGAGTATCCAAAGTAGTAACAGTATTAGTGGTAATATGAAGGATTATGCATTGAAGATATGATTTGAAAAAATATTAGCGCAAATGAGGTAACTGCCGGAAAAATTCATTTAAAATCATATTTTATGATACTTGATTGAGAAATCCCACACACTAACGGGAATAATGATGAATGACCCAACACCGTCGAAGCTAATCAGTTGGTTCTGTTAGTCAGTAGATATCGTGCTAATGAGCACATACCACATGAATCATATATGGATAGCCCATAAGTTAGAACAAATTAAGTTGTGTCGTTTCCATGTTGGTAAAATTACTGGCCTTGAATTTTAAACATATTAGATTGTAGACTCACTGTTTCTGGTCTAATATATACCGAATATGATTGTCAAAAGACGTGTTAGTATTAAATATTCTGTAAGTGCATAAAATTGAACTAATGCATCATTTCCCCTTGTCTAACATTGTTTGCCATGTACTTTCAGTTACAGTTTGCTTTTTTACAATTACAGGAAAACAGAGAAAATACAATAACTGAGAATAAATCATATATAACTTAAAACAATTACCTCTTCTGTAGGTGCATGGACTGTTTAGGGCCCCGTGAATTAGAGCAGGAGGAGGCCTTGGTTGACCATTTTGAAGATCACATACTATGGCTGGATTGCTATTAGTTGACGAATAGGAGTCACTACCATGATGACCAACAGAAACAAAATACTGGGACCGCATAGTTTCATTGGGAGGATTTAACAAAGGATAATGCCTATCTATCAGTGGTAGCTTCAAAGGAGTTTGCATAAAAGTGTGATCAGGATTCTTTTTCTGTAGTCATATTTTGGGGTGATGTTAGACACTGATTGAACGTTTGGTAATGTTGGTTAGGTACAGTACAGTTATGTCGTGGTGAAAAGCTTTCCACCCTGTCATCAATATGTCTGAAGGAAAGAAGACACTCTGTTGCCAATTCCTAGCAATCTTCTGTTGATCACCGTATATATGAGATATCAAATCTATACGATCTGATAACTGTGACTGTGCACCAGCATTGACGGATATTATACCTAGATGCTGTGATCTAGAATAACCATAATTATTATTTGTTGCAGTTATGGAACGACTGAAAGTATCTGAAAAAATTCCACCATTTCTAATCGCAAGTTTATTATTTGAATACTGATTATTATATGTTTGATTCATTAGACAACAACGGTGACAACAACATATCACACCTCCAATACCCAATGTAAGAATAACAATTGTACTGACAGCTATAGCAATAGACGCCGGCATACCAAGTGACAATAAACCTGATAACCAGCTATTAGCATCACTCAAATCACCATTAACAACAAGTAGTGGACTGTTTGAATCTTTCATATCTTTTTGTGGGATAGAAAACAAAACGTGAAAAAGATTTTTTGACAATGATTAACAGAAAACCAAATGATTACATAACGGATGTAATTTTGCCGTTCAACTACCTTATAATTTGACTGTTATCGTAGGAAACCTTTCAAATATTGTATTATCTGTCAATGGATTAAACGCTCGATCGACACGACATGAACTACGATATTACTTTAGTTTAAACACATTCGAACGGCGGTTAATCCTACGCAACTTAAAACCCGACACATATGTACATCGATTCAATTCAAATGACAGTAGCTCACACAGATGAATTTCATCATTAAACATGAAGGATTGTTTGTTAGTTATGTCGTTATTTGTGTATTTCCTGTTGATTCTCTTAGCAACTGAATCGGAACAGATTCAACAACAGTATTTATACAGAGAATGATAAACAGTCAACTTACACCAAATATAAAAGCGATTTTCCAAGATGAGAATCTGTTTAAATATTGCACTGTGTACCATATACAAAGCTATCAAGTAGTGATATGAACTGTATACATTATTGGTTTCTTTCTTAGATAACAGGCACTGATCAGTAGAACAGTAAAGTTACGTTTAAGTATTTTTCTTGCTTGCAAGTGAAAACAAAATACTTTGTAATGTAAACAGCAGGTATAGTGTAATTATCGGCTAGTGAGTGATTGATTATCTATTTTTACATTAAACTAACACTTGAGAAAATCAACATGGAAGTATGTGATAACACTTATCAGTATTTATATTTGTTTTCGATGTTTTAGTAAAAGGAAAGCTGAATAACAACGTTAACAGAGGTTAGTTACCATCCAGTAAGCAAAAAAGACATCAATGAAGATGACTCATTAGTTAACATGGAAACTTGTGATTTCATTGAACATACCAATAAAAGCCTGACAATGAGAAATATCTTCATCTTTCCTGTCTTCACAGTTCACAATACCATCGCATAAACTCTTCTTTGTAATACAATATCCCATATATTGTTTATCATGATTAGGTGGAAATCTGTCGTCATGTCAACTACGGATATTTTGAGGAAGAGATAAGAATGGTCCATACAACCGGTTATCTGAGCTAAGTGAAGTTGATGTTATCATAGAATTTGCCCCCATAAAACGAGGGACTGCACCGCAATAAAAGTTGCTTGATGGACAACTACTATTTCGAGCTGGTAAAATGACAAAAAAAAAGTTTACAAAGCGGTGTAAATAAATATTATGAAGAATGCTTTATTGCTTGAGATTTTGAACAGACCTTGTTAAAAAGGACGTTTAGGAATTCTTAAAGTATGGATAGAAACTCAAATTCTGATGGTCAAGGTCGACACGTTAAAAAATGCACTAATCATTAGTGACTTACTAACCTGTTTTTTAATTATCAGTCTTGGCTTTGCATTGAGTACAATAAAGAAAATTAAAGACTAGTAATGCCTTAGGTAGTACATATATCACGTTGCTGATATTCAGCAGAATACTACATTTGAAATTATCTACGCTAGGTTATAACAGAAATTCTTCGGTAGTCCATTTGTAAAAAATGTATCACCCGATCCAAATTAGCACACTCTGTCAGTACAGGAAGAAATTACCAAGAATAAAGTCAAAAGATTTATAATAGTGATGATATCAATGGTTCTAAAAAATAAACAAAAAGAACCGTGAAGCAAAGAGGAAGCTACCACTTCTCAGTACATTCCAGGTTTCGACATGTATCTAGGATGGGTTAATAGATTTCACTGAATTACTTTTTAATATCGCATTTGATGGTGTAACCAGACGACTGACCAAAACATTCTAGATTTAAATGGGATCGATAAACTAGGAGTATATTCTCAGGCATTCATCGCAACCAGAGACTAAGTACGAAATTGTATTATTTGGACAAAACATTGAATATTTCACGTGCGAATAACCACTTCAATATTAACGCGGCAATTCTACACAACTTTGTGTAGATCTCATCACTATTTGAAAGTTAAATTAGCAGTCTTTGTTCTCACGTCAAAATAATACAGGTGTTATCAGTTTACGACTAACTACAAGGAAAATGACATGGAGTAAAGTGTATCAAAGATGTATTAGTAAGTTATCTTAGCAGACTTACTTTCTTGAATTGCAGTAAGAATAACTCGAAATCCAGGTTTCACACCAGGTAAAATGGGAGGTCGTTGAGATGAAGTACTGGGAACAAGATAATATGGATTATTTTAATATGCGAATGTAAACAAGTCAAACTAGGATACACCTGAGACAACATATTTGAGTAGGGTTGTGATGAGAAACGAAAACTTTCTAACAAATAACCTAGTACTCTATCAATAAAAATATATGAACCGATTGAAAACCAGGTCTTTGTTCCACTCAAATGGCTGAGAATAGTGTTTGGACCTACGGATCAATTTTTATTTTGTTGAATTTACAATTTGAAAAAAATCACCTCGCTTCACTCAGACAGATTGGATAAGAATGACGAACTGATAAACAACTGAACCATAGAGCTGTAGGTCAGTTGTTATAGGGTTAGCCTCAGTTATTATATTGCAAGTTCAAAATCGCTTCGTCTGCTTCAAATAAGAGGGGGGAAAGTAGCACAAATTTAGCTCAATAGACTAAGTATAATGATATACATCTGGTAACTGAGTTAGTTTGTTATTTAATTATTGCAACTGAATTGTCTTCGATGCTTACGGCCAGTGTCCTATGAAACTGATAGTGATTAAACAGTTTATATATATATATATAATGACTTACTGGAAAGCTAAACATATGTAGGACTTTGTCGTAAATATAAGGTACTTTGGATAATTCGGTCCACATAAACCACGTTCTCCACCAGCTTCTGTCTATAAAAAATAATATATCTAAAAAGCTTATGAAACATGAATGTACAATATTTGGATTCATCGATGCAATAAATGCGAATTACACAAAACACAAGATAACACACACAAGTCCTCGTAGTCTAAAAAAACAAAACGATCAAGTTAAGCTTGATGAAAAAACTAAGACCCGATATAATTGTTGTCATGAAGAGTGGCTCATCTTAGATGTAGACTGTCCTCCAATTATTGCAAGGGACAACAGTATTAGAAGTAATAGTTATAAATCGCAAGGGAGAAGACATAATATTATATGTGTCAGACCAATTTCGTGTATAATCGAGTATATCAGAGACGCACGATAATGGTATATGTGAAGCAGATAGTTGTACAATTAAATCTAGACATAGAGTAGTGACCACATTATCTTGCAGAAGACTTTGTCCTAAGTCATATTTGTACGTGGAGTTGGGCTGATTGTTTTCTTATTTCTTATTAACATTAAACCTAGTAAGTCAACCGATCCTGATGGATTACACCTACGATCGCTGACAACCCTCTTAAACATTATTTGAGGAGCACTCAGCAAACTATTTAACGTGTTTCTTCCCCAAGTTCGACTCCCCAGGGATTGAAAGGATGCTATAGGTAGCCCTACACTAACGTATGAAGACACCTTGTCTAAATACCGGCATGGTAGCTTAACCAGAATAATACTTACATTGTTTAAAAACATAATTCGGCCCAAGTTACTGAGTCACATAGAATCATACAATCTGTTCAATTCTGAGCAACACGTGTTTCGGAATAAACATTCATGCTTAATTAACTTACTAGTTGTGAGAAAGGATTGAACAGGATCTCAAGATAACGGTTTATCTGTCTACGTGATATTTATAGTTTTTAGTAAAGCGTCTTATTTATGGCTTATGCACAAGCCGTACAGCTTTATAATAATAGCCGCCATACAATAGTGGATAAAAACTTCCCTCTATAGCTGGAGTCAGAGGGTGAGGGCGAATAGGACAATAAATGAATGCAAACTGGTTAAAAGTGGCGTATTCCAAGTTATCATTTTAGGTCACTTAAAATTTCTTTTTAAAGTCAAAGAATTGCCGAAATAATTCGTCGACACTGTCATTTGCAGATGAAGTTCAAATCTGAAGAACAAGTAATGAGGCCGATAATCTTGATCTTTAAGCTGACCTAAATGAATTAACTAGATGGTTCCAAAGATGGGCTTCGAAAATTAATTGTGGAGTTTGCCAATGCACATTTAATATTGTAATAGTTACCAGTATACTACCAATAGCATATCGCTTCCTGGAACCCCTTACCTGAACCACTTGCATCAGCCTTATTCCTGACCGTTGTTGCTACCTTGACGTGGTGGTCGGGCTTGCCTATCGTGATGAAGCAACTGAGCTATACTGGCTGGAACAACCGTTCCTCAAGGTCCTACCATGCCAGACAGGTCGGTTGAAGAGCGGTAAGACTAAAAGCAACAAAACCAAGGTCCGAAGGCGAAGTCGTACTGCTGACTGTACAGAGGTGTGACAGCAGTAAGGTGTTTCCTTCAGACAACCAGCATGACAGCGATGCTGCCTTCCCACAAGGAGGGGTGGGGTTAGAAAAGGTCGACCCTAAAAATGCACACCTCGCCTTATCCCACGGATATCCGTCTCCGGCGGTAAGGTTTCAACAAGTACGGAGCTAACACAAAAATCACTCATAAAAAGGTCGTGTGTGACCGACCTCAAGCAGCTGTCCCTTGGGCACTGCGGTCACGCTCTCAGGTCACTATGACCAACTCTAATCCAATTTCCTTTTCAGGTACCTCCAGAAGAACCCTTCCACGGTGTGGGCAACCGGGAAGTGATAACCGCCCTCATACCTCTAACAGCACTCAAGACCACTGTATTCATAATCAACCTCCCTCTTCAATTCCTATTATTCCTCCTACATCGATTTTATACACTAAACTTCCTCTTTTAGCTTCCTCCTCAAGTGTCACCACAGCCAACGATTCTAGTGCTCAAAACACTGTCCCAGGTCTACTGAAACCTCGCTCCAAACTATACATTGGAGCCTTCAACGTACGCACACTATGCCGAATCGGTCAGCAGGCTTCCTTGGCTAAAACCTTAGAATCTCGTACCATTGATGTATGCTGTGTCTCAGAAACACGCATACAGGATCCTAGTGTGGTCATTCACTTGACCTCACCTCGGCAAAACGGAGAGGCAACGAGATACACCCTCCGTGTATCTGGCGACCCGATGGCTAGTTCTCGTGGACTGGCAGGGGTAGGCATAGCACTTAGCATGAGGGCGGAACAAGCGCTATTAGAGTGGATCCCCGTTAACAGTCGTCTATGCGCTGTTCGGCTAAACGGCTCCGTAGGAACTCGGAAGGATAGGGACACACGTCGTTGCCTTTTCGTCGTTTCTGCCTACGCTCCCACTGACTGCAGTTCGGATGAAGTGAAAGATGAATTTTACAGAAAGCTGTCTGAACTTCTTCAGAAAGCTAAACGTTCAGACATAGTACTCGTAGGAGGTGACTTTAATGCCCAGGTAGGTAGCCTAAACAAAACAGAAAGACATTTAGGTGGGTATTTTAGTATTCCGGCACAGCGAACAGATAATGGTGATCGTCTGCTGCAACTGTGCTCAGACAATCGTTTATTTTTAGCAAACACAAATTTTAAGCATAAGGAGAGACATCGTCTAACATGGCGACCCCCTGCACCAAACCAACGATGGACTCAAATAGACCATATTGCCATCAGTCATCGTTGGAGAGGGTCAATAGAAGATTGTCGCTCATTCTGGGGTACCTGCTTGGACTCTGATCATTCCCTAGTACGAGCACGCATCTGCTTGCGCCTCACTGGACGCAAAAGAGCCACACAAAAAAGACTCATTAGAACCGAATTGAGTAATGAGAAAGCCAAAAGTAGGTTCCAGGAACAACTGAGGTCACACTTAGGTAGTTCTGAAAACGAGACTGACCCAGATGTTGCTTGGAAAGTTATACAAGCAGCTGTGGAAACAGCAGTGACATCTACCAGTGATTTAAACCAAATGGTTACAAAAAACCAATGGATTTCGTCAAGGTCTATTGCACTGATGGATTCTCGCAAACTCATCCCATCAGGTTTTGAATACGATGAAGAGCGTAAAGAAATCAAATCTAGATTAAGCAAAAGTCTAAGGAATGATCGTGAGCAGTGGTGGGCAACGAAAGCAAAAGAGATTGAAAAGGCGGCGGCTATAGGGAACACAAGACAACTCTACAGACTAATGAAAGAAACTGGAATTAATAAATCAAGTGTAAGTCAGACCATTTCGGAAAAAGACGACACTCTCATCTGCTCCCAGTCCAGACGTTTAGAACGATGGGCGGAACACTTTAAGGAGCAGTTTAGCTGGCCTTCAGCTACTCTACAACTACCCTCTATTCCCAGACAGTGTGAATGGAACATTGTTCTGTCTCTCTCCCTTTTTTTTTATAATTCCCCACGTTCATTACTTTTTTTTCTCTTTTCTCCTTCTCTTCAAATTATCATTGTTTTGTGTGGCGCATATATATTTGGTGCCCCTCTGTACCAATATTTATGTGTTCAAATAAATAAATAAGAAATAAGAATGGAACATTGAAGTAGGTCCCCCAACTCTAGCTGAAGTTCAAAAGGCTATAGCTAATCTGAAACGAGGAAGGGCAGCTGGTCCAGATGGATTGGCCTCAGAGGTCTTTAAGGATGGTGGTCTAGTCTTAGCGATCAGGTTGCCTAATATTTTAGCTAAAATCTGGGAGTTAGACGTTATTCCATCTAACTGGTCACAATCACTTATCGTCCCAATATTTAAGAAAGGGTCAAAATCATCCTGTGACAACCACAGAGGGATTAGTTTGACTAATATAGTATCTAAAATACTAGCTTCGATAATTTTCGGACGCCTAACTAAGACTCGTGAACTGCAAACACGTGAAAATCAGGCTGGCTTCAGACCTGGTCGTGGCTGCATCGACCACATATTCACCATTCGTCAGGTTCTAGAACACAGGCATACTTATCGGCGTCCGACAATGGTGGTATTCCTTGACTTAAAAGCAGCGTTTAACTCTGTTGACCGAGAGGTTCTGTGGCAGTGTCTGTCATTGAAAGGCGTACCTCAGAAGTACATAAACCTTGTGAAGGCTCTTTACTCGAACACTACTAGTCGAGTCAGAGCTTATGAAAAACTGTCATCTGATTTTGCAACCTCAAATGATGTCCGGCAAGGCTGTCCACTATCTCCATTTTTGTTCAACTTCATCATAGATCTACTGATGGAAATAACGCTCTCATCGACTGAATTCTCGGGCATTGATCTCTTACCAGGAGGTCCACTTATTGACTTAGAATACGCAGATGACATAGTCCTGTTTGGTGAAGACGCTGATGAAATGCAGAGTTTTTTGGTAGCACTGAGCAACAATGCTAGAATGTTTGGGATGTGCTTCTCCGCCTCTTAATGCAAGCTGTTGCTTTAGGACTGGTCTGCATCAACACCTGAACTAAGGATAGGGGGTGAAGTAGTCGAACGCGTTGACAACTTCACTTATCTTGGAAGTCTGATCAGCCCTAATGGGTTGGTGTCTGACGAAATCTCAGCACGGATTCGAAAAGCTCGCTTGGCCTTTGCCAACTTACGTCATCTATGGCGAAGGCGAGATATCCGTCTATCAATTAAGGGACGAGTATACTGCGCGGCAGTTCGTTCCGTTCTACTATACGGCTGCGAAACTTGGCCTTTAAGAGTAGAAGATATTCGTAAGTTACTAGTATTTGACCACAGGTGCCTTAGAAATATTGCTCGCATCTGCTGGGATCACCGGGTAAGTAATAGTGAGGTTAGACGCAGGGTACTAGAGAATGATGGTAAATCAGTTGATGAGGTTATGAATCTTCATCGACTGAGATGGTTGGGCCACGTGTTGCGTATGCCTGAACACCGATTACCACGACGCGCAATGCTGACTAGTGCAGGGGATAATTGGAAGAAAGTTAGGGGCGGCCAAACCAAAACGTGGCATCAGTGCTTGAAGTCACTAACTTCTGGTCTGAGCCATGTTGGTAGATGCAGACTGCCTGGTTGGGGTCCGCGTGGCTATCGTAACCAATGGTTGGAGACTCTTGGTGACATGGCTCAGAATCGATCACAATGGCGTCGGTGTATACACTCTCTGTCTTCCTTAAATTAAGAGATTAAAATCGCTTCATATCTGTCTAGGAACTAATTCTTTCTTCCTTTACTATCTCCTTATACACAATCTTTCTTCTATATATTACCACCACTGAATTAACTACTCCTATGAATCCGGTGTTCATCTTGTTGTGCTAATGCGGTATGGCAACTTGGACCGATGCATATACGTGCCTGGTCCTACGTTGCAGCTGACTGACTGCCTTATTCGTCAACAACTTCAAGGAGAAGCTGAACTTTCACTAAAGAATAAGCTATGCGGATTAACACAAATTCAACCACCTATTATTCTAACTGCTTAAGACTGAACAAACCTTACGCAAACGTTCTACACATATTCGGGAGCAGTAACAGAAATTAGTTTAGAAGACTCACCATAACCTTGGACTTTGCTGCATTAGAATCGAAAACATATGAGTAATTCTCAACACAATTGGGAGTCTTAGAGGGGACGTAAAATTCCTCAATTTTCATCATAATTCTGGCATTCTCAATCGATGTATACACAACAAGTTCACACGAGAAGTTGTGTGGATAAGAAGTCGTGTTATGAGATAATACAACCATACTGCCTCCAAGATTATTACTTGCAGGAAGTTTTTAACGGGATGGTGTAAGCGGAAATCCTGGTTAGGTAAGACCCGACAGTCACGAGAGAGAACATCTGAAAGTCAAAAGCAACGACGAAATGAAGAGCGTTGTCGAGTGTATTTATAAATTTCACTTCTAAATTTGATATGAGATGTTCCAAACAATCGATAAAGGGGTAATAAACGCGAACAAAGTGGAAACAAAGGGGAAAATGCGTTGGAAAATAGAAGGGATATAATAAAGAGACGCGCCAAAACGTCCAGGGAAATAATTTGGATTTCCCAGCTTTGTCGCTCCGTCCGTCAAATGTTGCCGAATTGTATACTGATCGCCTAATTATACAACCTATATAGTTTGTATAAATTGAGCATTATGTAGTTTGGAAATGATAATAACCTTGTGACTACGTGAATGAAGAAAGTTTAAATGTCTTATCGAAATAGCAGGCAGTGATGACTCACAAGTAATTTGGAGATGAACGAAATGAACAACAGCCTGAACGAAAATAAAATCTGTAAATTCATTGACTGTTTTACCCGCCATTCAATAAAAATAAATACGTATATATTTGACCATCTATTACTTGATATCAATTTTTAATTCATCGTAATAATTATAGGCTGAAGAGAGTTTTGCTTTTAATAGTGAAAGTCGTCAAACGTCCCTGTACCTGGTCTGCGGGTGGCGGGCTTTCGATTTCCTTCGGCGTGAGTCATGGGCTTTCAAAATTTCAGAGGGAGAGGAGGTGGCTCACGTGCTTCCCAGGGTGGTTTTCGAAGAGGTTCCAGAGGGGGTTATTCTGATAAGTTTCAAAGTGGTCCACCTGAAGAAGTTGTTGAAGTTGGAGTATTTGCTCATCCATGTCAAGAAGATATTGTCTGTAAAATCACATCAGAAAAAATACCTTACTCAAATGCTCCTGTTTACTTGGCGAACAAAGAAGAAATAGGAAAGGTCGACGAAGTTTTTGGTCCAATTAAAGATGCAGTAGTGTTTTTTAAAATTTTTTTACCTAATCCATTTGACTAGTACTTTTCAATCAAACTTTCAGATACACTTAAAAGTAAATCATTTCAAGAAGGTGTTAAGGTATTCATTATTATCCAGATCATATGATATTCCGTAGTTTTTTATGGATCCTGCCAAGTTTCTTACTCTTGATCGCGTGATGAACCCAAATTCTAGTAGAGGTGAGTTGACTTTGTAAAATTTATTCTAATTGTAGTCCTGTTTGTATCGCTAATCATTTGCTTTAAGAGGCACAAATTAATAAAAATTTGTCCCTGAACACAGACATCTAGTTAAATCTTCAATCCTAACCATAATAAGACTAAACTATCAGTGCTAAATGAGCGATTTTTCATTCAATTAAGATACAGCTAACATTAATGAATGTCATTATGTTAGTGAATTAGGATTTTCGTCTTTCATGGACTAGCCGGAAAACCATCTTAAAAATGACTTACAACTACGATCGTAGTCCTTAATGCCATATCTTAAATACAATGCCGAATCCCATATTAATGCAATAACAGTTCTAAACCATGATATTGACCAACCTCTTATTCTTCGTTGTTTTGGATGTATATTTTAATCCCATCGTTACCACTTAAAATTAGTTTTATAGTACCGAATAATAATTTCGTTATTGAAATATGTTGTTTTTTCGAGTCACAATATTCCTAAGGCAGTCAGTGGTCAGTAATTCCTGACAGATCTTTTTCATACATATTGTCTTTGTGTTGGCTGTGACCTTGAAACAGCTAGCGAACAGGTTATTAAACTGTAAGTATTATATGTTGGCACGCTTGTGACTGTGAAAATTGCATAAATTAGCAAAGCATTGTTCAAAATAACGGTATTGCAGTTACAGATTGAATATAGCCTACTCGTAACTTAGTTGTTTATTGCGTGCATAATATCCCACTATACGGTAGTTTTGTTTTTAGGCTGAAAATTTAATTGCACATAAACGGTTTCCTAGGTTGATCCAAAGATGTCTTATTATTGTTTTGTTTATTTAAACACAAACATTGTTACAAGGGGGCACGAAATATGAATGCGCCATACAATAATAATGAGGCCAGTAACAGTTATCACTGATATACGTAAGGGCTTTCATACTGCCCAAGGGATGCTAAAGTTTATTTACTCGAATTCTAACCACTACATTAAGTCAATATCAGTAAAGTTCAAATTAATACGGAAATACTTCAAAACTGAAAGCATATAGGTCAATTGATGCTAAGTCTTTTTTGGATAGAATCGACTGGTACCATTTTTTAGATTACGGGCATAGGCTATACTTGATTAACTGTTTAATTACGGCTAATAAAATGTTTACTAAATACTCCTGCTTCGGACTGAGCACCCGGGCAGTATCACAGCTCACAAATGTCAACTTGATGTATGTACAACCTATCGTAAACTTGTTGGTTTGACTGAACAATGAGAAAATAAAGCTGATATAAGAAGTGTGATATATTCACCCCACACATTTCAAAAAGTCTGGTCAAAACACTATATGAAAACTAAAAACAAATCTGATTTTCGTCCTCAGACCTTTCTAAGATATCTTTAGAAGTACTTAAATGCTGGATTTTTTGCACACTTTGTCAACTGAGGAACATTATATGTTCTTTTATCTACTAGTTTTAAATTCTTAACTTACGAAGTCATATAATCACCAAATTACTTTTTTAACAATAGGGCAAAGAGGTGGTCGTGGTCGTGGTGATCAAAGAGGTGGTCGGGGTGGACATGATTTTTCACGTGGTCGAGGAAGGGGGGAATCTCGAGGTGCTCGTGGCGATTTCCGAGGAGGACGTGGTGGTTCTCGTGGACGGTGGAGTGATGGAGGTGGTCACAGTAATCGAGGCGGATTTCGTGGTGGGAGGGAAATGAATGGTCAGCGTGGCGGTGAACGTCATTCGTTCGGAGGAAAACGAGGCGCAAATTTTTCTGCGTCTAATGCACCACAAAGTAAAAAATTCAAATCAGAAGACTAATTCACTTTTTGTATGATAAAACTTTTACCTGCATTGCTTTTCTTTAATGCCGAATCTCGTTTTCCTGTTACAGGTCATTTATTTAAGATCACTTTTTCCTCTTGCTGCGCTACTATGTCTGTGTCCTTAAACTAGTCGAGATTTCTTCGTTTATGGTTTTCAAAAAGCATTTCTTAAAACTCTAACCCAACTTTCGTTAAGTTATCTCTAATAAATACCAGTCATTCTGCAATGAGTGCATATTTATGTTGCAGACGAAGTTTGTTTGTTTATTAATTCTGTTTAAAGGTCCTGGAACGATGAAAAGGGTTCCAATTCCTAGCCTATTTTCAAAGTACCTCAACAAGCTGTTTTTTTTAAAAAAAAATGTAGGTCAATTCAACTTCATACATAGGTAAATGTAACAGGCAGACTAGTTTCTCTTTCAATTAACTCTTATTAATGCCAAGAAAATAATTATTAGCTAATCTGAGAGTTTTTGTGTGTTGGCCTTGTGGTTAAAACGTGCAAGGTGTGATTATTGAGTCTCAGTTTTCAGTTACACTCCACTTTCGGTTTACTTTCCTAATGCTATCACACCAAATTGTGGCTTTAAGCCGGCAAACCGAACCTTTATTCGGTTAGTGAGTAACAATTTATCAGTTCGTGATAACTTCTGATATGATTGGTCGGTGGTCATCACTTTGTCTAAATTTTGGTAGTAATTATGTTCTTCGTATGAAAACCTCTTCCGGAAGTTACCTCGATTTAATGCATGCAAATTCGTCCTTCATTTTTATGACCCCTAAGAGTGGTGTCTCTAATTCCAGGCTTACCGGTTAGTCTAGTGTTCCAGTTTGGTTGGGCGCTTTAACCGGACCCCAAACCAATGGTGCACATGGGCTCCAGTATCCTGAAGGAACAAATGGCGTATGAACCAATCGTTGGTCACCGGCTACCATGGGACTGCATCTCCTTACGATGCTCCACTGCCTTGTGGATCAGATGTTCAGGTCAAAGGCTCGGGGTGTGGCCCCCTAAGAAAACCACCTGCTTCGGTTTGGGCACCCGAGCAGTATCACAGCCCTCACACAAATCAATTGAGATTCGTGTGGCGCATATGTATTTGGTGCCTCCCTGTACCTATACTTATGTGTTAAAATAAATAAATAAATTTGGTTGGGTTTAGTAGATCCGAGGTTTGCGATTTAGTTTATTGATAACGTGGTTATAATAAGGTCCGTAATAGGTATTACGCAACGTTTCTTTTGCTCAATTTATTTTTGGAAAAGTCAAAATTTATATGCAGTAGAGAATTCGGCTTAACGCACTCCACTTATTTGCCAGTGGTAACCGAGGCAACCCAAAATATCAGATATGGGTTGTGATTGTTTATATTTTCATCTAAATTGCCACGCCTCGAAAATGACAAAAGATTATTCATTCTTGCTTATAAATGTCTACGAGAAATATCAATATTATTACTGTTTCATCGGGCAAAACTCTTGCTATTTGGCCTACTTTCCTCCTCAAATTTTTATCCGTCTCTCACTATTGTCTTATTTCGTTAAACCTTAAAAGGCAGAAACGCTAAATATTAAAGAATGAATAAAATTTTAAGAGCTCCTTTATATTATGTAACAATGATACTAAATTGCTATTATTACAGTAATGGGATAATCAGCCATTCGGAAAATAGCCTTTCACAATTTTATGCCTTACAATAAATTACGGTATTCTCCGTTTTATCAATAAATGGTCCTTTTTGATACAATTCAATTGCTTCCACAGTTCTTCAATCAAAGTGGAACAACTAATAACTTCCCGTCTAGATTTTATTTCCTAATTTACCTTAAATAGATGGGTATTGAGAATCGGGAGGTATTGAATTGATGCTTAGCCCCCACATAGGACTTCTCAACAGTATGCATTCACTCTCGTGCCAAAGATAAATCTTAAGTCTTCAGCATTATTGCGTTGTCATCTAGTGTTTGTAGACCGACATCATCAAAATGTCATCGGTTTGAACAAAACAGCTATCGATTGCTTATTGGCCTCCAATGATTGTGTAGATGAAAACAGTCCTTCGTACAAACTAAGAATTGAAAAATTCGCAAACTTTTTTGTTTCAGTAGTGTTCGCTTTTTTAGTGTCGATCTGTTTAGGTTAAAAATGAAATGCCCATCGCGGTAATGTAGTATTTTTATGTAGACTGTTTCTTGCTAGATTATGTTCCTGTTTTTCGCGAAATTTGAAGCATTTGGTTTGTTCGTCTTCGGGTATAAATATCAAGTTAACTGTACTGTCACTTAAATCTGTATAAATCCTGTTCCAATTACTTTCGTCACAAATTATTTATTCATCGGAATGAAACCAGCTTACATTGTAATTATTGAAAATCGAAATTAATTGATTGGTTCAAAAAATTCGTGCGTACGAATAGTACAATGGTTTGTGTAAAGTGAATTACTTGGCTTGATGGATCACCCTAGTTAATCCCAATTTTGTGTTTGTTCATTCTTGGCACCATAGTTATGCACTAAGCGTTTTAGATTAAGGCTATACTAACAAAAATTTAGTTGTCCGTAGTTTCAACTATATATAAGGATTTTGATTTTTTACATTATCTGTAGAATCTTCTCTCTTCATCAGCATGTCTCTGATGTGTATATCAATCACTTTTACCAAGCTCAGTGATGCTTTTGTCATAATGCTTGCGTACTCTTCCAATCTGGTTTTTCGCGCCTTTCTCACACGTTTTGTAAAACCATTCGATGCTCGCTTAGTGCAATCTTTTATGAATCGTGTCAGTTAGTCTGACTATTTTTTTATCGTTTTGACTAGCTAGATATAGATACAATGGTCATTATTCTGTGTTCCAAGAGTCGAAATCGGAACTTGTTCACCACATGAATAAATCAGACCCATTTTATATTTAGTTGAGAAAATCTACATGAAAAATTGTTTGACCTCAAGTCTATGTATAGCTACATTAGTTCTTGGTGCCATGACGTTAGGAAGTCCTTTTTATGTAAGAAAAAATAAGCTTTATGATACTGTTAATCATTTTATAATAGTCTCACTTTTATGTAGGGAGTTGTTTTTGTTAAGCTAGCTCATATTTCCTTCCTATTACATACTGTGATTTCTCTGGTTAATTTGAAGTTCTATTCTACCGAGATTTCTAAAAACTATTTAGACATATATTCTTTCATGATCTTATTATGTTCGTTGTAATTCTTATTCAAGCTTAACTGTTGGAACGGTTCGAATATCTACTGTTTTTCTTAGTCTGTGAATATAGTGAGTTAAATATTTAGCTGACGGTTTATTTATTTATTTTTACCGGTGGTTGGAAACATAGAAACACCAATCTTTGTATGTTATTCGTTTTACATGCGAGTGGATGCTTTACTTCGAGATTGGCATGTTTTTGTGGAATATCTTTGATCATTCCATCACTAAGCGTAATAATTATTTTTATTGGGCTATAATAGATGTATAGTTGAGAAGAATGTGTTAAAAATCAGTAATTTTTGTTTTATTTGTTATGTTTGTGTCAACGTAATATATTTATGCCCCCAGCAATCGTCCTTCGCTTGATATTGTCATCCATTCTGTTTCGCATCGTCCGATATATATTTGTGGGAATTGAAAATATTTTGAATTATCGAAATCCTTTTGAGCGGTTTTTAGAATCACTAATTATTCTGAAGTGTTTTACGAAAATTGTTAAAATATATGTCTGAACGTAATCTAATGTAATCCATTTGATGTTTACATGTATATAATCCAACTATAGCCCACATAATCAACCATTTTAACAGCATTTAGAAGTCAGTAGACATTTGTCTTGATCTGAGATTCGAATGTATCTACATATATAACAGGAAACAGTTCACTACTGATTTTTAGTCTGAAAATCTACTAATGCATTTAGAATATGATAAGCTTTTCCAAATGTTATTGGTTAGTATTTCGGATTCCTAACTAACTGGTGAGTTCACTAGAACTTTAAAAACACTACCTCTCTGAGTTTAATCACTTCGTTTTAAGTGGTGATGCTGAAGTTTCTTTTTGTAGAAAATGTATTGACAGAATAATCGACTTCGGATACAACTTTTTCTGTTGATTACACTACATTCGTTCTCATTGTAGTAATGCATATTTAGTTACCACTGAAGTTCAGCTGCCAGTGCTAGTCCATATTCGAAATCTATCGGTCTCTCGAGATTTTTTAAAATTTTATTTGGAAACTTTTAAATATATTTACAACATATTGTACTCGAGTAAGACGAACGGGACGTTAAAGCTACTATTGCCAGATACGAATTCACAATCTACGCACTGGCTTTTCTAAGCTCACTAATTGCTAAAGCTATTTAGCAAAAAAATCAGCCCCGGAAAATATTATTGAGTCAAAACAAGTAAAGTAGTTTGACAAGTGGATTGTATCTTCGTGATCACTTCCCAACAAAGTTACATAATTCTAACACTGTGTGATGATGCTCAATCTAATTCTGTTTCAACGAGTGGCAAATAAGATCAACGTGCTTCGAAAAATTTATCACATTCATACTTTACATTATCCACGTTTACCATCGAGTTAATTGAACAGAATCAGTGTGTACTTCTTTAGGTAGTGTAGTGGCTAAGTCTCATCATTGTATGTTGCTGTCTCTGCGAACTCAATAGACTTAGTAGAGAACTTACAATTAGAAATTATTGATCTGCAAAAAATGGTCGTCAACCAAATAAAACTTCTAAAGTGCGATAATTCATTTACTAGTTAAGAATTAGGTGAAGTTACGAAATATAATTAAATATTCAATGACAGTTTACTCAATAATGAATCCGTAACATTGGCCATAAATCTTTCATTGTCGACGAACTTACACAATATTTTTGCAGAGCAGCATTCCAAACGATTTGATTATACATATGTGACTTGTTATATAACTTGCCTGCGTTGGAGAATAAAATCAAAATAAGCCACGGTCCATCATATCTTCGAGGTCATCATAGATTTTTTCCATATGCGTTGAATATTTTACTTTATTAGTAAACACTTCAACAACAAATTCACGACGACAGAAAAAGTCCGAAAATTCTCTAAACTTGTCTTGTGATTGTTGACTAATGTGGTGCTTAACAGCTTCTACTAACATTTGATTAGCTTCCTTCATTGTTTGTATCAATTTATCAATTGACGGTTCAACACCCGGCATTAGACGACGCTTGGGTCGACCTAAGCGCAATGCGATTTCAGCTATTTGATGACATTTCTCATGAAATTCATAAGCATGGTTCAACTGTTCGTCTGATAGTATGTCATTCGATATTAAAATTAAGGCTTTGACATTTAATTTAATTGCCTGCTTTGTTAGATACGCAGCTAGTTTATTATTATCTGTATATTTTTTTATCAATCTAAATATATTTTCAAATAAACGAGCCGATGAATCATCCAGAAATAATTTAATAATTCCTTTTGGTAAACTTCCAACCAACTTTTTTTGAGCTCGTAAACTTATTGACTGTGGGTCGAACTGTTCTGTTGAATCTTCTGGTGTCTGAGAATTTTGAGGTGTACTTGGTTTGTTAGTCATTCTTCAAGTGTAAAAGTCAGAGTTTGTTATTTATTTCGTAGTTTGCATAGAGGTATTTCAGATTTTGAGGGATAGGGTGTGGTTTCCAACATATGAAATGGGCCAATAAGGAGTGAGCATAAAATGATTAACTGATTGGCTAACTCGACCAGTAGAAATACCCAGTCGCAGAAACAACCAATTTACGAGCACTAGGTAGTACTTCTAGAAAGTATTATGTAGTATACTTTATCACTATGACCACCTTAGCACATCTAAACAGTTCAATGACTTCAACAATTTCCCACGTACGCAAATAAAACAATGTCGAAGCTTAATAAGACTGGTAACAATCGGAATTCTGGGCCTGTTTATTTCAGTAAACAATCATTTTACAATACAAACTGACAAGAAATATTCTGCATTAATGCTGGCTATTATATATCATTACCAATTACCTCACAATGTAGATACATGTAGATAACATTCTAATCGTACATCAAGCGTCATACTAATTGCTATTCTTACCCAGGTCCATAATTCGTTATATATAGGTGTCTAGGTTTAGAGTATCCTATGGTCTCGTTTGTTACTTCCAGCTCACTTGCATCTGTCTTTAGGAACAGGTGTACGAGTATATTGCTTGTGCGATGGAGAGTTCATCAATCAGTCTTTGATTATAGTTTTGTCTACTCTACTTTAGAAAGTATCGGTGTACGGACAGATTTTATCTTTTACCTGGTATGGCAACCAATTTTTTTTAAATATAAGTGACTTCTTGTTCGTGCCTACTTTACTTATCCTAATCAATAAAATAGCCTCAAATTCTTCTGAATAGAGTACACTTTCGACAATTGTAGGTTGAATCTAATCATACAAACGTTTCTTCAGAACTGTTATACAGTGTAGTTCATGATTTATCAATACACTTTGTACATTTCTTATGAAATATTTACTCGAAAATAAATTATTTTTTGTTTTTAACACTAAAATTTTCACCTACGTATTCGACAAGTTTATTTTAAGTGCCTAGAACCAATAGACGGTTTTTCTATGCTTATGAGGGAGTTTAAAAATACCCATGGAATATTCGAAAATAAAGAATATTTGAGCGGACATTTGTTCCCAATACCTTCATCATCAGGCTCTACAGCTGTAAATCCATAATTATAATATTTCACAAAGGCCAAAATAAGGCATGTATTAATGAATTTAACAATGTTATGTGTTAAAAATGGTGCACGTTTGCATCTGTTGTTATTTACAAATTATAAAGGTCAGGATGATTAGAAGTAAAGTATTTAGTCACAATAACTATCATAGCAAATATGAAAATGCAAAAAATTGTGTGAATACAATACATAGTAAGAAATTTTCATCTTGTCAATTGAGATAATAGTAATAAGATTGTTGTGTGAATATAATGTGTAATAAGGGGGTGTTATCAAGGTAATTACGATAAACGAATTGAGAATGATGGATGTGAAGATTAAAATAAAGGTAATCAAAAATAATAAAAGGGAAAAAATAAAGGAAGGGGGTAAGAGGTATATAATATTCAGTCTAGGTATTCGGTGATCCAGTTGTGGGCCAAGGTAAACAAAGAGGCTGGATATATAAATTTGGTTTTCTGGAGTTGGTCCAGATGGCTACGGCTATGTAAAGCAGTCGTAATCTAGATCCTTGAGGTAGATATTGTAGCAGTAAATAAATCCCCAATATAATTAACTGTAATTTTTCGACATTGGATGCTGACTACATTGGTTTTAATGGACTCATCTAGCTGAACGCTCTCGGTCATGCATCCGCACTAGATCACGTGTGGGAACGCCGTGCTCAACATCTACTGAAATCGCTAGCCAGATTAGTTCAGACGATCCTCGATATATTGATAGCATATCAAATATATATATTCGAACCTCCTCGCTTCTGTCTTTTGATTTCAATTGGTGGGTACGCTTCATATTAGGTGTTACTGGTTAAAGCGTTGTCAAACTCCAAATACCTGTGTCATCAATATTTTGGAACTTGATATAAAACAGAGAAAGCTTCTTCTATTTAGATATGATGTTCACTATCTACCAAGTGAGAAAGAATGGTGCTGTTAATCAGTTTGGTAGCTCTTTTTCCCAACCATGCTGGTAAATGTGCACGAACACGCAAGGATAAAGCCCTATGAGTACGGCCTATGTAAATAACTCCATAGAAACAGTTGAATTCGTATACACACTTGGAGGAGTCAATCTTCGGTAACCTATCCTTGATTAGTTGTGTGAGGGGCTCAATAAATTAGTTGGAATCTGTTTAAATGAACTAGTAGCTTGCATATCTACAGGACCAACTTCACGAGTTACAGTAAATCTAGGTAAATAATTCTCTGACATGAAAAGTTCTGTAAATTTTCAACATCTATGCTGAACACATCTTCAATGGTCCGCCTTGACGTGGACTGTTACATCAAATGATAAACTACGAGTCTGTTCCTTGTCGTAACATTACATTTTCTAGCATTGTTATGTTATTTGTATGTTCATGGATTTTATTCACATAATAGCTGATTTTATTTTTCTTAGTGATTAAAGTTCTCTCACTCATCCTCTGACCTAGTGTTTCGTACCATCTTAGTCCGACAGCATCAAAGCCTGGTTTTGTTATACAGGAGCTGA